GATTAAGGCTTTGTTGTTGTTATTGTTGTTGTAGTAACTCAGCACATAAATAATCCAAATGAAAATCATTTGGAAATAGTGAAGAGAATCCATGGATACTTGAAGATGACACATGTATATGATTTGCTCTTCAAAAGAATTATAAAGCGTGAGATTGAGGTTTACACAGATGCTAGTTGGGCAGAAGAGATGGCTAACAGGAAATCAACCATTATATATAGTTCATACTTCTGGGACAATCTCATCACGTTTAGAAGTAAAAAAGCAAGTTATTATCTCTAAGAGTAGCGTAGAATCTGATTATTGCGCTTTAGCACTAGGAATATACGAGGGAATGTAGAATTAAAGGCTGGGAAGGGCAGTTAAGTTTGAGAGGAAATACACAATTAAAATGTTCGGTCATATCCGAATAACTATTAATATAGCCAAAAATCTTATGCATCATGACATAACAAAAACACATCGACATTAACAGACACTACATTTCAGAAAATTTAACAATGAAATTGTTCAGCTCAACTATGTTCCCACATGACTTCAGATTGTTTATATGATCACCAAAGCACCACCAAAGGTTAGTCATGACTGAAATTTAAGTTTGATTTGTACAACACATACAACCAAGCTTAAAGGGGACAATAGAAAAGTGCCAATCTGCAAGTTAGAAATAAATTTACTTAATTTACCTCTCTCAAAATATATTTTACTAATTGTGTTTCCTTTAATTTATATTTTCTATTTTTCTATTATTTCATATTTTGTTTCCTTTCATTATTATATATACTTAGTAAAGTATAATGCAAAAGGAGAGTCAGGAACATAATTATGTCCAAATTTCTACAGTTTCATTTGATGATCTAGATTTCTACAGTTTCATTTGATGATACTCTATGAACATTACTTTTCCCTGATAAATCATTTCTTTAAAATTTTTTAGGAGTAGCTCAATAAATGCCGTGAAGGAAAGAAAGTTATAAAAAATGAAAACATTGAAGAGGTTTTTTTAAAACTAAATGGAGAAAAAAGATTCATGTAGCCGACCCACTTAATGGGATAAAGGTTTTTTATTGTTGTTGTATTAATAAACAATGAAAAGAGAAATGTGTGAAATTTCTTTATCAACATATCGAAGATGAATTGACCTCAAAGAAGCCTACAATAGATTGTCCAAGCTTAGCTCTGGTATCAAATGAGTATAAATTGATAGACTATAATGTTGAGATGATAATAGATGGATATATTAACTAGGAATAACCAACTCTCAAAATAGTTGGCTTGACTAAGGTCACCAAACCTGAATCTATGACCAAGCAACCAAGCAAGTACAAAGAAGATAACACCTTCAAATTTCATTAAAATATCATCATAATGAAATATAATATAATATAATCATAATAAATATGATAACGTTGATAAACTTGTGGAGTAGGCCTTCCATCAAGTCACACTATGCATTACATATTTACATTCTTAATTGTGTTTCACTAAAGTCAAAATCTTGTGTTGCATCACTCTAGAACCAGTTAAATTCTCCTGTCTTTGCAGGAAGCTAAATCTCATGATATGCACACTTTGGTTTGAGGGAAAATATTATCCTAAAAATTTCAGATGTGTAAGTTACTAATTTAAATATTATATCTTCATTAAGTGCCACGTTCTCTTTATTGAGAATCTCTCTAACAAAAAAATTTTTAACTTTCAATAGTATTTGCCACCAACTTATTGAAAAATCACACAAATTCTTTTGAGTAGATAATATATTAAAAACAAAATCAATAGAGATAGTGGGGAATGGGGATCAAAACAGAAGAACTACTTTATAGTTAACATAACAAATTTGTGCAAGAAGAATCGCTTGACAATCACATACCTCGAGAATTTCTTCAAAATTAGCTTTCAGTAAATTGATTTTCCGCTCACAGTAGTTTTTCCCTTCTTTCATAGTTTTCTGTAGAACAAATATTAATGCCATAGTAAGGCACCAGTCTTTAATTTTATAAGTACGGGTCTATCAACTCCTACGTCGTATGAAAGACAAAAAAAAATCCATGCATGTGAACAAACGAAAAGAGACAAGACTAAATGTTTCTAACAGGAAAAAAAATTTGATTTGCAGAAGTGATGACAATTAAATCACCCATGGAACCACGACTATTGCAATGGCTCTTTGGAAACACAGGAAGATTTAAATTTTCCAGATTATACTAATACAAACCTGGACACATCTAATATTAGAGGATAATAAAGTTAGAAAGAAAATCAATCTCTTATTTATGGAAGTCCCTAGGATCAATTTCTGTGAAAAGTGGAGGGTTGTGTTAGGTAGTCGACAGTCAGCATAAAACTTGTCGAAAAATCATGACATGAAAATTATGACAACTAACGACACAAAAATTTTTTAATCAAGATTCCAACATTACACAAACTAGAAACAATGCTTTTTGAGAATCTTGATAATTTCAAAGATCATAAAAAGTTTAGGTATGTCAAATGAGATGGGAAAAATTGAAAAATAGGAAAGCAAATAGAAAAAATAACAAGTGGTGGCCCCCACGATAAAGGTTCATCCAAATGGTCTCTTTGATATAACCAGAAAATAGTTGCAATTTTAAGAAGAATGGTGAACCGAATTCAAAAGTGACTGCACTGGATGGAAATGCAATTCTTGACGAAGTGGCATGGTGTCAAGGTAACGAATCTCTAGAAAAAGCTTGGAGTCAGTGATGGGCCTCATTTTGATCTTTTCTCCATGACCATGATATTGTAGCAAGGGCATTATAGATCTTCATGAATTCTAAGGGATGGTGGCTCAAAAGAGGAGATGGGTAGATCAATGAATGGAGCGTTTGGTTATACAAAATGCTGGAGAGTGGAGAGCGGAGAGCGGAGAGTGAGAAAGATTTGTGAAGGAGAATAAAATAACGACAAAAAATGATGGACTTGCGAATGATGATGATCGCAAGATCATTAGTAGAGATGCAAATAGTGATGATGTGTATCTTGGTAATGCAATATTGAAGATAGGAGATGAAGCTTGCGGGGTGCGAGCAGAGATGCAGCAAAATCTGATGAGAATCAGAATGATTTTGAAAAAATTAACAACAAAAATGATTGCAACTAGCTACAATGCAAGAACTGGTTGATTGAAGATGAAGTCAACAAAGGCGAAAATCAATGTGGTGTTACTTGATCTAAAGAGTACATCAACATCTTTCCTCTCAGGATCAATTTCTTGCCCTTTCTATTACTTTCACATTAATTCTAAATACATCTTGCCCTTTCTATTACTTTCACATTAATTCTAAATTCATGTGAAACAATAGTTGATATGTCAAAAATTTTTTTAATCATGACATGGAAATTATGACAACTAACGACACAAAATTTTTTTAATCAAGATTCCAACATTACACAAACTAGAAACAATGCTTTCTGAGAATCTTGATAATTTCAAAGATCATAAAAAGTTTAGGTATGTCAAATGAGATGGGAAAAATTGAAAAATAGGAAAGCAAATAGAAAAAATAACAAGTGGTGGCCCCCACGATAAAGGTTCATCCAAATGGTCTCTTTGATATAACCAGAAAATAGTTGCAATTTTAAGAAGAATGGTGAACCGAATTCAAAAGTGACTGCACTGGATGGAAATGCAATTCTTGACGAAGTGGCATGGTGTCAAGGTAACGAATCTCTAGAAAAAGCTTGGAGTCAGTGATGGGCCTCATTTTGATCTTTTCTCCATGACCATGACATTGTAGCAAGGGCATTATAGATCTTCATGAATTCTAAGGGATGGTGGCTCAAAAGAGGAGATGGGTAGATCAATGAATGGAGCGTTGGGTTATACAAAATGCTGGAGAGTGGAGAGCGGACAGCGGGGAGAGGAGAGCGGAGAGGGGGCAAGGTTTGTGGAGGAGAATAAAAATGCTGGAGAGTGGAGAGCGGAGAGCGGAGAGTGAGAAAGATTTGTGAAGGAGAATAAAATAACGACAAAAAATGATGGACTTGCGAATGATGATGATCGCAAGATCATTAGTAGAGATGCAAATAGTGATGATGTGTATCTTGGTAATGCAATATTGAAGATAGGAGATGAAGCTTGCGGGGTGCGAGCAGAGATGCAGCAAAATCTGATGAGAATCAGAATGATTTTGAAAAAATTAACAACAAAAATGATTGCAACTAGCTACAATGCAAGAACTGGTTGATTGAAGATGAAGTCAACAAAGGCGAAAATCAATGTGGTGTTACTTGATCTAAAGAGTACATCAACATCTTTCCTCTCAACAACTCTCCAAAGGATATCTCTGTCATTGGTGATCTCAAGCCCGAATGTGAAAAGTGGAGGGTTTTTTCCTATGATATACATGCACAGAAAAGGCTAAGTTTATGTTCCACAGCCTTCTCTATTTTTTTATGCTAGTTTTATTGATTTTAAAATGCATTAATCTCATTATTTTTATTTGTAACACTGAAATTCCCGGCCAACGACATCCTTATTAGAAAAAACTCAAGTTCATATACCGCCATTGACATCCCATCTAAAAGTAGTCTTCTTATAATTCCGCTTTTTATTTCTCAATTACATCTATCATCTTTGACGAGGCACGTCATCATTGCATAAGATCCTTAACTATATGCCCTAACGAAAATCCCCATTCTCTTGTCTAACATATTAAGGATGCATAAAAATATCACATCTATGTCTAAGCATAGCTTAATATTCCACCATTTAAAAATAATTTCAAATCCACTAAAATTATATATTCTCTACTTAATATTTCTTTTTGCTAATCCTAGAGCATTACCATCTAAAAATTCCAATATAATCGTCTAATAGCCATTTCACCATGTCATGAAAAATAGAAAAAAATGGCAAGGAACTTTGAAAATATGAGTGATTTTGATATCTTTAAAATTTAATTATAATGCTTGACAATGAAGGATGATATAAGCAATAATTGTTTATATGGCCTCATGAAAAATTTAAAAATAATTAATATCGATCCTCTAGACAATGGTAACAAGATTTATATTTTTGCATCTCCATATAATTGGGGTAGGAGTAAGAGGGTGCAATGACAATTCCAAATCTCAACCGCCAAATCAATTCAAGATGTGTTTAAAACACTTCCATCAAATCTATAATACCCTCTTCCACCCAATAAAAAAATGACTCTCACCATCTCCTTTATAAAGAGAAGGGCTCTCCATTAAGCCTTTGCTCTTCATTTCAACGGGAAAAATCTATTAAATTAAGTTCAATTTTTACTCACTTCAAGAACAATCATTGACTTGGGCATTAAAAGTCTTCCAAGATACAAAATCTTGGGGTTGGCACACTACCACTTATTTTATCATAGGTGTGGAATGCAATATTGAGCTTGAGACAATCCAATGATCCTCAAATCTCTAATAATGTTCAAAGATTTGTTTTGGCATGTGATGATTGTTATTCCACTCAATAATAGTTGGAAAAAAAAATATTTGTTGATGGTTAGCATCCATTAGGAAGAAGTTAAAGATGACAATAAACCGTCTAAAAAAAAGATGGTAACAACAACTACGATGATACTGCAAGACATCAATATAGATCATATTAAAAATTTATATGACAAGTAAACAATTCCTCTGCAAGAAGAAACAATTAATCACAGCAGAACAAATATCAACCAAAAGAAACTTATCTTAGGTCCTGTAAAGTCAAGAAATATCTAATAATGAGTCAAAACCAGAAAAAAATAATAACGCCATAGATGACTGTCCGCGAAGTAAAATAAAACTCTCATTAATGCTTTTTCCTATGAAAAGTGTAAGGCATTATACAATATTTTTGCACAACTGTCCTCAGCATGAATTCCCTTTCTACTCGTACTAAACCTTTTTCCAGATATATCTAATAATGAGTCAAAAGCAGAAAAAAATAATAATGCAGTAGATGACTATCCGCAAAATAAAATGAAACACTTACTAAAGCTTTTCATAATGCAGGTGTAAGGCATTATATCATATTTCTGCACAACTGTCCTCAGCATGGATTTCCCTTTCTACTCGTACTAAACATTCTTCCAGAACCCTCCCTGATGCAGCTCTCTAGCGTCCCTTACTCTCCGTTCTATTTGCTTAGCTATATTCAGTATTTTTGCTTATTTGAATTATTATTATTCAGTATTTTGCATATTTTCATTATTATTAGTAGTTTATATTAATGACTATTCTACCCTGCAGCAGTGGTAGAAAAGGTATGGGCTGTAACTGTTTTAGCAGCTTTTTGCATTTGCTTGAATTAGATCATCTCCTTTTGGAAATTCGTCTGGTTTATTTCCTGTTTCATTTCATGCTGCGTCATTTGGTATCAAAGCCAAAATGGCGGAAAGAGCTCGAAACACCATCTGCAACGACAAATCGCAGCTGGCACAACATACATGAGGCCACTTCACACCTGGAACGATGCATAGACGACCTTACCGTGGACTTTCGAAAATGCATCGACGAGATGAAGTTTGTGTTGCATGCAATTAAGAGCAATGGACTTTATCCACCGGCAACCACACCAGCGAGCATGGAGACCAAACCAGCTCAGGGAGAAGCTATTGCGTTTACTAGGCCTATGCAGCAAACTCAAAGAACTGAGTTAGCTGATCGCCGCAAACTTCTTGTATCAGAAGAGGAACCTTGTTTCCGTCAGCGAATAAGCATATCTGATTCGGATTCAGATGCTGAAATTACGCCGTGGGAACAAAATTCCAACCAGAACCATTTTGATAACTAAAATCATGGTGAATACTAGGTAAAGGTTGATATTGCTTCCTTAGATGGCCATCTACCTATAGAAGATTATCCAAATTGGGAGCAATCCGTTGATTCCTTTTTTGATTATATGGAAATCCCACCTGACAAGCAAGTTAAATATGTCTCTAGCAAGTTGAAAGGAGGAGCTGGCGCCTG